AGCCACCTAAAAGCTGAGTGTGGTACTTGTACTTGCAATTCAGAGACAGACGGAGCACCTGAACTTTCTGGCCAGCCAGCCTAGCCAAATCAGTGAGCTCAACATTTAATGAGAGGCACTGCCGAAAAAAACAAAGCAGAAGGCAACTAAAGAAGACATTGGGTGTCTGTCTTCCTCTGTCCTCCACATGCATATAAATATATACTTAGATGTGTACATACATTACATACATACACACATACATACATACATACAGTGGGGAGAATAAATTAAACACCATGTCTAAAAGGGCTGACAATACAAGATGTGTGTTTTATACTTGTGTAGTGACACAGAAGCTCCTCCAAAGCTCTTTCCCTTACCCTGAGTGCACAGTCTCACAGTTCAAGGTAGCCATGGACAACACAAGGTCCATTGGACAAACGAGGGTAAATGACATGTCACTTTGTAGTCTTGACCTTAAAATTGCCCTCGAGATGATTTATGCTGACCTATCGATTTGGGAAGGATCAAGAATCACTAGGAGACAAACCTGTCGGAATGTTTAAGAGGGAGTTTCTTGATTGGGTTGATCGAGGGGAGCATGCGCACACTTAAAGTAGGCTGTACCATGCCGTGGTCTGGGGCCCAAACTAAGTAAAAATGAGGAAGTGAGTTGAGCACCAGACTTCATCTCGGCTCTCCGATGTAGATGCCATGTGAGGGCTGCTTGACACCATGCCTTACCATTGTGTGCTCAAACTGTGAGCCAAAATAAATCTTGCCTTCCTTAAGTTAATTTTACCAAGGATTTTGCCACGAGGACTAAAATAAAAGTAAATAACACACCCTCTGTTTATCCTCCATTCTCACTTCCTCCTTTTACTAAGATTCCAACGTCCAGAGTGACCTTAGAAATGGGACTTACAGGGAATGTTTCTAAAGTTGGGGTGCCTCTTAAAATGTTTTATGGAACTTCTACTGTATTTAGCCACTACTAAATAATAAATTAGTTCATGAAGGCCACTGTCATATGGTTTGCACATGAACACACCACACACACACACACACACAAACACACACAAACACAAACACACAGAGCCATATTCATGTTTCTCAGACTGCTTCTGATTCACATTGCAACACTTCAAAAGTAACCTCCTGTGCTACTCATCCCACTGAATCCTCCATGTGAGTTAAGTGTAAGTCCTTCACACTCTCACTAGTTAGGAGGAAATATAGTCGTGAGTGTGGGCGCCAAATCTGGGTTTACTTCTACACAGGTTCACAGGTTTCAATAGAGCTTTTGTTACTTTTTAGCTGGATGATATGAACAAGTTATTAAACCTGTGTTTGGGTTTCCATATATAGATATGTATGTAAATATGTACGCATATGTGTGATTGTGTATGCATGTGTGTGCATGTGTGTGCGTGTGTGTGTGTGTGTGTGTGTGTGTGTGTGTGTGTATTTGTTTGTTTTTGAGACAGGGTCTCATAGAGTATCATAAGTATGGCCCTGAAGTCACTACATAGCTAAGGATAACCTTGAAATTCTTATTCTTCTGCCTCCACCTCTCAAATCCCGGGGTTATAAGCAAGCATCAGGAGAGACAGCTCAAAAGGTCTTGCTGCAGAACAAGAGGACCTGAGCTCAATCCGCAGGACCTGCATGCTGGGAGGGAAAGGACTGACTCCCACTCACAAGTTGACATCTAACTATCATGTACACATTATAGTACATGTGCACAGGCACAGACACAGATGGGGGAGGGAGAACGAGAGCGAGGGAGAGAGAGAGAGGAGGAGGAGGAGGAGGTGAAAGAGAGAAAATAGATGTAATAAAATTACATTATACAATTAGTAATATGTATTAATATCCTCATCAAGAACAGAATAGGCAAATACTATAAGTACACAGACTCTGGTATGAGACTAGTTGATATGGAAGCCCAGTTTTTCCAGTACCAAACACTGGAGCTCCTTCTCATGAACAGGCAATGCACTGAGTCAACACTCCAGCTGTAGAATCAGACTTCCTGAGTTCAGCATCTGACACCTTTCACAATGTGTGTTTACTCTGAGTTAATGTGAAACTTCAAGGCTGCTTACTTTCTGGTGCCTCTTTCAATATCCTCTTTATTTTATATTTTCAGACTGCATCCTGCCTCTGAAAGATTTTGTAAATCAAAACTTTTAGATTGCCTCCAGAGCAAGTGTCAGGATAGGCTCCAAAGCTACACAGAGAAACCCTGTCACAGAAAACAAAAACAAACCTTTCAGATTGCACAAAACCTGACCCCAAACTTGGCTCCTTTGGTTACTGTCTTATAAGTTGTGCTGAGAATTTGTCTTTCTTGTGTTTCAGTTGTCTCATAGAAATGTACTACATAATATTGCCACAAGGATGCAGTGATGGTTTTCATAGGGAATGTTTAGAACATCGCCATATATGTGCCCTATTCTCTTAAGTGCTGCCTTCTGTAATTTCCTTTGGGGGTCACTCTTTATCTGTTTCATCATGACCCTATTGGATTTAATGTTCTCTCTCTCTCTCCCTCCCTCTCTCTCCCTCCCTCCCTCTCTCTCTCTCTCTCTCTCTCTCCCTCTCTCTCTCTCTCTCTATCTCTTTCTCTATTTCTTTCTTTTTTTGTAAATTTAGCCTGAGACAGACTTCACCTTCGTCCTTCATCCCATCCCTTTGTGTCAGTGAGCATCTCTCATAGAAGCCTCTTAAGTTGTTTATAGTCTGGTTCTTATCTATTTGTTAGATCTACTTAGTCTCTTAAACATATCGGCTTTGTGGCTTACAGCATGACAAGTTTGGTTCACACTTGCCCACTAAAACCTATCTGCCAGAAAAGGTTTCTCAATAATAATATTGGCAGTAGAGATTATCATCAATTTTTGTCACAAATTATATTCTGAAAACATTGTTACATATCATCTACAGAATTGCAAAAATGCCATTTAGCATTTATTGTGTGCGTTCATGAGTGTATGTGTGTGTGTGTGTGAGAGAGAGAGAGAGAGAGAGAGAGAGAGACAGAGACAGAGACAGAGACAGAGACAGAGACAGAGACAGAGTGATAGAAACAGAAAAAAAGGAAACAAAAGGAGGATTATTTGCAGAAAGGAGAAAGGAGAAGGGAGTGAGGAGTGAGAGGACAGGCAACAGGGAGGGCGTATGAACAACACACAGAGAATCACATGCATCTAAAACGTCATAGTTAAACTCGCTATTTTATATGCTTACTATGAAAGAATTAATACAATGAAATGCAGTTCAAAAAAGGTACTCTACTGAAATTTGGATAATTTCAATGTTAATCACGTTGTTGTTGTTGTTGTTTTATGTCTTCAAAGCAAAATCTATGTTACTGGATACCATGCTTAGTCAAATTGACTCATTAAATGATCACACAAGTCAATGCTAATATGGCCAATACTTTTGTTACATATTTTGAGGCATGACGAATGCCATAAATCTCTGTTGGTTTATATAATGATCTCTTTACTGTCTACAGATGCTCTCTGCCTTCATTTCCACCTGTCTTTCCTGATACCTAGTTTATCTAAACTGCCACAGACACACACTAAAGGACAGAGGTGTACATTTGAAGGGGGTTATGATCCAGCAAAGAACCATTTCTGGATTTCCTATGTGGACATTGGCTAATATCAGCTATGATGCTCCTCTGGTAGAGATTACTTGAGTAAACAAGACAAGAATTTGGTGTAAAGAAGTTAAAACATGAAAAAGCATTTGTGAAGGAGGGTCACTGGGACCAGGACAAGGCCAAATAAAAACATCACTCTTGAGGCAGAGAAGAAAGTCTGTGGTTGCAACTACAAATAAAGTGAAAAGTAACGTGTTTCCATCTTAAGAGAATGTTGAGACTAGCAAAAGAATAAGCAAGCCAATGGGAAAAATTTTAAAATTCATCTGCTGTGAGCATACAGCTAGACTTGAATTTCTAAACACTCACTATGGCAGAATACATAGGTAAGTCTTAGACTGACGACTTTCATATTCATACCCCAGAGGGTCACTCTGAGCTTTCGTCATTCAACAGATTTTTTTAAATATCATAACAATAAATTTTAGTTTAAATAACATCTTTGAGTCAGTAAAGGCAGTGTGGATATGTAAGGAAGAATGAGTCTCCTACCATGCCATGGGGAGAAATTCATGTGTCAGGATGTCTCTGAGATACAGTTTGGGTTCTGGTTCAGGGGAGAGAGTCCTTGCCATTGTCTTCCTACACGCCTTCTGCCATGAAGCAAGTGTGGAAAATGACTGGACATTTTAATGCTGAAAGGTTGGGTTTGGCGTGTACCTATGTAAGTGATGCCTGTACAATGAAGGCATCATCTTATCCTGGAAACGTTGAGCACCTGGAAAACTTACTATTACTCTTGATGTACAGAAGGGCTTAACAATCGCAAACATCAGGTACCATTGTTACACTTCTCCATAATCCAGACAGCTCAGCCCTTCCTTAGTTCTCTCAGCTATATCATTGGTAGTTGCTTCTGGATAACTGTGCCTGATTATATTAGAACTCTAAGAAATATTTTTAGTAGCATCTCCTTTTCAATTAACTACAAAATCAACAAATGAATGTGTTGTGTAGCTGTGGCCTGGGATCTGCCACCCAGAATTCCACTGCCTGCCAAGATCAAGCCAGCAGCGTCTTAAGGTAAGGAACAGGACAAAGATTAAAATGAGAAAGAAGAAAAACATGCCCGTAAGCCAAGAAATGGCCTTTAAAGATCTCTGACACTGAGAAAACAAGGAAGTTCAATCACATATATTCTAACACTTTAATTGACTGATGATATTTATTCCACAGAAAAAAACAAACTTCTCCTCAATGAGGAAGGATCATGAGTAGGGAGAATGATTAGGTGATTCACCTCATGGGCCTACCTGCCAGCTTTTCTGCTTCCTCCATCTGTATATAAAACCGGCACTGAGCACCAACAACCCTGCTGCTCTGTTGTCCTGGTTTCTCCACCATGCTCCGTCTCTCAGTTATGTTCAGTGCGGCCACCCTCTTGGTCCTGTGCCTGCAGCTAGGGATCAACAAGGCTCAAGATACCGAGTGAGTCAAACCCTTCTTTATTTGCAGGAAAGCCATAGTGAGGATTCACCTCCTGACCTGGAAACCTGTACACCCTTTTCTGTAGATTTTTAGACTGCAAAGATCTCTAACCTTGGAAGCTCTCCTGGACTTTGTTGCAAGTTCCATTCTTTTAGTAGGTTTTAGTAGGTTTCATCCATTCCCTTCACCTTTCCTCTGGATGCATAGGCTTGCCTAGGAAATAAAACCCCCACTGTGCATGAGTTTGCCACACACAATCAGTCTTACTCGCTCTGATCCACTATTCAGATTTTTACTTGAAAAGGTAAAGAAGGTCTGTGAGTTCTAGCAACAGCTTCAGATGTCTTTGGCTGAGAATGAGAGCTTTTGTCACTGCCCCGTGGCCTCAGGTTGAGCTAGCAAAATAGATATTATTCCTATCATAAAACCAAAAGATAAACACTAGGACCTTTAGTAACACTCTCACTGGGACCTGGAAGCCACCATACTGAGAGTCCATGTTTAAAGAAAGCAGAAAAGTTGAAAGAGTAGAATGAAGTTAGAAATGAAGCCAGAGGCTATGGAGGGTGGAGAAGTAGAGTTACCCAATCAAACTAGAGGTCTTTACATTTGCAGCAGCCAAGGGTGCCACCTTTCGAGATTATGACCCTTCAGGTGCTCTGGGAAACTTACCCAAATGTCTTATCCTAGAGGAAATGTCAAGGTTTTAAGGAGCTGATGTAAGCACCCTGAGAACTCCTGTACGTTCCAGTTCAGATGGCATTCTTCCCAGACCAGAGGGAAGCTCATGTTGGAATAAGCCTTACAATTAAAAGTGACTAGGCCATCATAGCCAGCCAACAACTCTCCCATATTTATTATAGAATGCCTACCTTGTATGGAATCCCTATCCTCCAGGGGGGAAAAAAAAACTAGCATGGCTAATTGCTATAGCTAATCTGGTCATGCTACTAACTCTAAACTCATTCATAAAATGGAAATTGTGAAGACACTTGGTCTTCATGTATCTTTCCTAGGAACTGAGTCCTAGAGCAGTTGGTACAAGAATTAAAATGTAACATGTTTTGCCCTAGGAAAGTGGAACTATGACTAATACTATCTAAGAATTCCTTTCTATCCCACATAGCGCCAAAGACCTCAGCCACGTTTCTTTCTGAAGAACACAATCCCCTTGGCCCTGAACAGCCTTTCTTGACTAAAGAGGAACACTTGACTTGGCTCTTTGTTTCATGTCAGGTTCTTTTTCTCAGCTGTGGTGTGTTCACAATTACAATATGTACAGGTTTGCTGTAGACCTTAGATACACATTCCTAGGCCGGATCCAGGAATCCTCAGGGAGGATCTATGAACTCCTCCAGCACGGAGTTATTTATGTGAGTCTGTGGATATGAAGTTCTCTCCTAAGGATGACGAGACTCTTTCAATGTTTTTCAGCATACAGGGTGCTGGCAAGCTGTAGGGCAGTGCTTCTCAACCTTCCTAAAGCTGAAGCCCTTGTATGTAGTTCCTCATGTGGTGGTCACTCACCCTGACCACAAAATTATTTTCTTTGCTACTTCATAACTGTACTTTTGCTGCTGTAATGAATTAGAACATAAACAACGGAGTTTCTGATGGTCTTGGGTGACCCCCCAAAGGAATTGTGGTCTACAGGTTGAGAACTACTGCTGTAGGTCATTAGGAAATAGCATGTGACAGAAGATAGTTTTCCACTTTAAAATTTGTTACTTGAAACTGAAAAAAAAAAAAAAGATACTCCGTTTTAAGCAATATGTCTGTTGCTTTGTTAAACGAAGGAAATCACGCAAGCCAGCCAATGCACACAGGTTCCGGGGATTCTGATGGGGAGCACTGCAAGCTACATAACTCCCTCCTTTCTCCGTCCCCACATCTCCTTACAGCTTTTTCCACGTGCAGGTCTCTGATCTCTATGCCCTGTTTTTTCTCTTCCCAGAAGTATTCGAAAGCCACTTATATTTTCTTTAGATGTTCCAAATTCTGCAAACGCAAATGAGGAGATCACTCTGAAACTTGGAATGAAATCGGAATATAGAGAATGTTTAGTGGTAAGTAGACACCTGAGACAGTGACTCCCAATCAAAATCTGACTCCTGAGTTATGAATATTATTAAATTCATCCCTTGTGTTAATACTGCATGATGAGCTTGATAAAAAAAAAAGAAAGAAAAAGAAAAACCACCTACATGCTTTGTTACCTGAATCTCCGAATAATGTTGAGAACATAGAGCAGATGATGTCTCCCATTTACCGGTGAAGGTTCCCTCGTCCAGAGGGTCTAGGAAGAAAAAGAGCAAGAAAGAGGTGGAAACAAACTGGCAGTGTTTCTCTCAGGGTCCTAAGCATGACTAGATTTGGATTAGGGTTTGGGGAACAGGGTTTTCATAAGAACATTTGCTACCATAGTACTAGGCTGGAGAAGAGGGAAGAAGAGAACGTGGGGGATCTGGTTCTTCTTCAGTAAGCCTGAGAGCTGAGCCTGCTTTCCTCTTGCCCTTCCTCTGCCTCCTGACCTGACAAGAGGCTGAGATGCTTCTTCTTTTCCCAGTGTGTTGGTTCTCAGAGAGTCATCCAAATTCATAACTATTATAGCACTAATCACAACACATAGTTTTGCTATGTGTTTAGGTAGATGGCACATATTCCAGATGGATCAAATCCCAGGCTATGCACACAGAAGGGGGTTCCCAGCTCTATTCTCTGAACAATATGAAGATGGAACTCAACATTATGCTACACTTCCCTACAGTACGACTTTCTTAATTCAAGTGAGATCTCAAGAACAATGGCCAAACAGGGAACAAAATAGTACCAGGAAAAACCATTCATTAAAAGGTAATCTAGAAATAGCCTCATCCTGATTAAAAAGAAATATTCTTGGACATAGTGCAAACACATCCTACTGTTTTATCATTTTTTTTCCATTTGCAAGACAAGAACACGAACTATGCTTGCTAACGTGGGTGTAGGACAGAGACTGAGTCATAGCTTTGCAATTTGTGTTTTGTTAGTCGTAACCACAGATGAGGTTGAGGAAAATGTTTACACAAGGTATACAAAAAGCTCTCTGTGATAAAGATAGTTTCTGGTGATGACAAACAATGGAAGTCTATTTGCACCCTTAAAAGGTCGATGTAATAATTGCATTGAGCTCAACAAAATGGCATGTGATATTATAGTGAATGAATGTCTGATTTTAAGAACCATGTTTCTACTACAAAAGAGTGATCGTATAAAGGAAACCCACCCAAGGAGAAGCATAGGGGTGAAAACTCCTTAAACAGTAATTTCTTCAATCAAGATTAGTGTGAAAGGAAATCTTGTTGGTTTTGTGCAGCCTCATCATTTTGCTCTGGCTAGCCTCAAACTCATTATGAGCTCAAGGGAGACTTTTTTCCTGATCCTTTGCATCAGCTTTCCAAGTATTGGAACTGTAGATATAGATTACAGCCATCCCATCCTGCAACAAGTAATTTTTAAACATGATTTTATGCTCACGAATGTTTTATGTGCCAGGTATGTGCCTGGTGCCTATGGAGGCCAGAAGAGGGAGTTGGATACCCTGAAACTGAGGTTTTAGGTGGTTGTGAACTGACATTTTGTTGCTGAGAACTGAACCTGGATCCTCTGCAAAAGCAGCAAATGCCCCTAGCCACTGAACCGTCTCTCCAGCTCACCAACCAATTTATTTTTATTTAGCTTTCTGAGGTGCGATGTGGGAAAGGGTCAACACATGACTATAAAGTATATTTATAGTTTAAACCTTTTAGGAATATATTTCCTTTTATGATTGAACATTGTAGTTACTCTTTTTTTATAGCAATTACATTGTTTTACAAGTGAATATATAATGACATTTAGTCTTAGGCTCACATTTATTCGTTTTCAAATTAAAACAGAATAGCATATACTATGATTATAATAATATGATTATTATTATTATTATCAATACGATGACCAGATAATTCTTTAAGACTGGAGAAAACAATCCCCAGCATCTTTGTGCAACAGCCCATTTTCATGGTCTCATAAAGTCTGTAATTTACTTCTCAGAAAACTTCTCCTAAGGGCAAAATGTACACTTCATTACATGAGAAACTACCATTTTTAATAATGATGATAAAATTACCACATACAGTAATCTGTGGGTTTATTAATGGATGACCCCAAATCTTACACATGTGAAATGCAAGCATAGCTAATTTCATTTATGAAGACACAGTCTGTGATAGTTGTGGCTGGTTCAGCTTACGGAAGAAAGTACTACAATGGCCTTTGACATCCTGATGTGTAGAACATTCACCGGACTCTGATTTCTTGTTTCAATCACATAATTCTTAAAAATTCTCTCATGAGATCTTATGGCAAACATAATAAAACGGAAACAAGGTCTTCTCTCAATACCGGAACAGGACTCTCTAAGACATCCCAGACTGAATAGCATCCCAGTGCTAGTGTTGTTTAGGGGATTATCATTATTCAGCATGGACTTGCCAGATATCTGAGCAAACATCAGAGATGAGCCTACAGCAGGTGTCTTCACCCCTATGCATACCACTACCCTGATAATAACAATATATTCAAGGTAAAGAGTGCTGGCAGTATTTCAAGATAACTGAATCTGAAAATTGATACAAATTGCCTTCTTTCTGCTTGTAGTAAAAATCATACATACTCCTAATTTATTGTGTTGCATTGATGACTTTAATTACAGGAAGACTGTTAAATCTCATTGAAAGGCATTTTTTTCCCATCATTTTTCACGATTACTGAATTCTAGTCACCGGTTCATCTGGGTAGACATATCCCTAAGACAAAACTCCTATGTTAGACATCAGAAACAGGAGCTAATTTACACAGTTGTCTGAGGTCTTAAATTGACCAGCCCTCTCAGGTTTCAAAAGCAAAGAAATTGGCCTCAAGAATTATTTGCTTACCTAATAGTGTCCAGAACCAGACATAGGGAGTAACTTTTGGTTTTGCAGTTGGAATAAGTGGGAGTGAGAGATGAATTCAATTGTCATAGAGTTGGAAGTAGCTGCAGTAGGGTTTGGCCATCATTCTCACAAAGCCTTGTCCTGGCATGTACATTTAAACAGCTGGGCTGCCATCTCACTGGGTCACAGAGTAAAAATTCACTCAAGCCGTTTCCTAGAACTCTAGCTGGTACCAAAAGCAAGCCTTCCCCCCAGGAGATAGCCACAGTAGGATGAATCTCCTTGCCTGGGATTCACTTACATACTCCTGAATACCATGCTCAGACTTCTCAGGCAGGCGTGAGTCTGGGGGTGTGAAGAGGAAAGCCTGGCGAAGCTAGCCTATGGGATGAGAATACAATGATGAGTGTAAAGTCCATGTGCCCTTAGTCAGTCTCAGCTACTTCCTCTCTTGTGTTGCCCTCTTCTTCCCTTTTTCTGGACTAACAACTGTGAGCCATCTCTCTCCATCAGGTCAGAGCTTCCCTTGAAAGTTCTTCCAAGATTGAAGGCAGCTTCAACTTTAAACAAACCCGCTGCATCTGTAACGATCAAGTAAACCTCTACTGGGACTTTCCAGTCACGCGTAAGTAGGAGGAACTGCCTGCCAAAGAGGGAACATTAGAAACATGACGGCAGAACTTTCAGGTGGAAGACTAGAAAGGCAAGGTGGTGAGTGGAAGGGAAGCCTGGAAGGACAATTCCTGAGTTCTAAAGCTATAGAAAGCGTTGTGAGCAAGAAAGACTAGATAGGATATTGATTTGCAAATGACTGGGGGGAAATGACTCTTAGGAGGGAGTTACCTGGCCCTAGCAGGAAAAAAATGGAGCACCCCAAAGTGTCTGAGAGATGACCTTTGTTTTCATCTCTTCCAGAAACTGTCACTATTAAAATACTGGTTGAAATTATTCCGGAGAAAAACATCTGCCCTAACGATGTGGCAGTGGTGCCCATCTCGGGAGACATGTACTATACCTTCCATACTGTGTATGTGCGCTAATGGAAGCCTCTTGTGTGTCTTTCAAACCAATGCAATTTTCTGTAAGCAAAATTGACTGGAATATCCATGACAATCTGCTAAATAAAATTCTTACAAGCTTTTCCATGTACTGCTGTGTCCTGCCTCCAAAATCCATCCTCGGTGTCAGCAAAACTCCCCAAATTCCTTACATTAGTCTTTCAAAGAAACATTATTGAGATTCTTATGAGTTCTTGCTATGCACTGATGTAAAGAGAGAAAGAAGGGCTGGAGCATTACCTCAGTGTGTTGCATACTTGCCATGCAGGTGCGAGGACCTGACTTTGGATCCCAAGAACCCATATAAAGCCAGAAATGGTGGCACACATTTGTGATCCCACCGCCTCTATGGTGACACAGGAGGCATTCTCCCCAGAAGCTCTTGGACAAGCTATTTTGGAGCATGCAGGGGTGAGCAACTACAGATGCTCTCTTAAACTGGGTAGACGGTAAGGACCAACACTTGATATTGTCCTTTTATCTTCATAAGTATTCCATGGCACAGTAGCAAGCACACTCACCCATGCACAGAAATACAAATGCACAAAAACAGAAAGAAAAAAAAAAACTTTTAAAGAAAAAGAGAAATAGAGAAGAGCCTCTCTCAAAGAGTAGAAAGGTCACTGCTATGGTGGTCCAAATGCTCAACAAATAAGAGGGAGAGCCAGGGCAGTGAGCCAAGCTCTGTCCAGGAGCTCACCTTCAGATCCCAAGATATGGGAGTAATTTGAAACCAGGGAGCCGGGACAATCTGCATTCCTTACCATGAATGGTTGCATTAAATAACATTCTGTTGCCACTTCTCAGCTAGTTACTAACAAGAAGCTGTGACTACTACTTCCAAAATTCAGGATTTATTTAGCACTCCAATGATTTTATTAGATTTAGGTTTTACAAAATGTAATGCCCCAGTCCATTAAACACCTAAAATCCTCTCTCTTAGATAGCCCTTACATACCTGGAATGTACATGAATCAGAAGAGCTATCTATCATGTCTATCTGTTGTTTCCTATGCCAGATATTCTACTAATGTAATAATCTACCAACCTATGAATTAGTAGTGTATCCTGAAACATGTCAGGGTATCCAAGAGCACATCAATTGAGTACCCAATAGCAAATGGTTGTCCTGAAGAGATATATACAAATGACGTTATGCAGACTGAGCAAGTTATATTTAAGAAAATATATGAACACACATATATGCAATAACAACAATAAAAAAGATGCCATGGTTTTAGCTGCTCCGGAATAGGATGCCCAGGCGGGATGTGGGCGCGTATGAACCACGCGGCTGAGGAGTTTTATGTTCTGCTGCTGCAGTGAGTTGTGGCCGAGGGATGGAACAGCATCTTGTCCCTCCTGGCCTTTGTGCCTCCGCCCGAGTCTTGCCACAGATGACGGCTTCGCGCCCTGCCGGCTTTGCTGGGCTCTGGGATAGCCGAGGGCGGGTCTGGTTTGGCTCTGCTGACGCCTAGGCCTGCTAGCCTCCCGAGAAAACCTCAGTACTAGAGCAACAGGGCCAAGGTCCCTTTACTCCCCTTGCTGATGCACCCACTTTGTTAAGGGCCATGGGTCCTAAACTATGGGTTTTAAAGCCCATCTTTGTAAGTCCTTTTTATGACCTTTGAGTTTGCGGCTTAAAGCCAGCTCTTGTGAGCCTCATAGAACCTGTACTTAGACGGTTTGGCCAAACGGAACTGCTAACTGCTTCTGTTCCGAGAAAATGGGCCTGGGGAAGACCACAAGATGTTCCGGCTGATTGAATTTGAAAGAGAGAAAGCAAGGATATATAGGTCAGTTTGGAGGGATCAAAGGGAATGGGGGAATAAGGCAATTATATTACAATTTCAAAACTGAAAGAAAGATTTTTTTTAAATCCTGGAAGGTACCGACTAGATAGTAAAAGTCAACCAAAAATAAATAAATAAATAAATAAATAAATAAATAAATAAATCCTGTATATTTCTCCTTATAAGAGATCATTGAAATAGTCAAAGTCATAGAGACCGAGATTCTCTGTGGTTGGTGTTACGATTCTGCTGCAGCTATTGGTAAAGAAATAGGAAACTACGAATGAACAACCCACGTGGAGCTTTATTGACAAGGGGAGGGGAGAGATGGGGTTGGATTGTCAGCCAACCCAAGGAGATGCAGATGGGGGGAGCTAGACCTTTTAAAGGGAAGACCACGTATGCACAGAGTCCTCACAAAGGTCATAATGTGTGGCGGGTAACGTGGGGATGATGTAGCATGTTCCCTGTTCCTGCCTGCCAATTGTTGGGGGGCGGGGTCATCCAAGTGTACATCCTAACAATCCCCGCTCTTGTTTATTATAAAAAGGTGGGGAATTGGGCATGGCGGGTTAGGGAAGCAGGGACAGAGAGTTCTCAAGACTGCTTTCTGCTGACCTCGGGGCATCGACCATCTTTGGGGGAGCCTGAGAAGGTTGGGGTGCTGCCATGTCCTGGAAAGGAGCTGGTTGTTTCATCGCAGTCCAGCCTGTTTGAAACTTTGGCATCTCTTTAGACCTGGAAAGATGTTGGCACAATAGAGGACGAGGTTAAGTTTAGAAAAAAATTGTTTTCTTAGGTCCTGGTACTTGAGGGGAAGGTCATAAGATGAGGGAGGGGAATCTGGGTCCAGGGAAAGGTTGAATAACACCTGGAGTGAATCTGACCTGTTTGTTTGGATCCGATTCGGCTCCCTGGAAGTTAAAAGAATCCTTAAAGTTTGTGAAAACATAAACATTAAACACATTAGATCATATCTAGGTGGTATGGAATCTTTCTGGTTACCTTTACCCAGAAGGCACAGATATTTGGTGGTCCTTGCGTTGTTAGATTCATGGCTTTTAGGCTGGCATTCCTGTAACAGCTAATCAGTTGAATTAAGAGTTTTAAGTGAGTTATTGTGGGCTACCTAGGAAATTAATGAGCAGGGTGTAATTAGAAGCAGGAGAGTTTAAATCAGCCTTATAGAAGTGGAGCCTTATTCTTCTGAAATGGGAGACAAAGTAGTTGGTGTCCTCTAAAGCTTAAGGGAACAGAGTCCTGTTACAGAAACTGTGTATGAGGGGTGAGCCTCAGGTGGAGAAGGAAAGGGCTTTGAGTGGGATAATTGAATCCAATGGGGAAGACTCTCAAGTTTAGCAGAAGTTGGAGTAACAAGAATTACCTTAAAGGGGTCCTGCCATTTAGGAGACAGGGGGTGGGGGGACTCTGGTCTGGAGGAGAAGAAAGAAGTACTTGATCTCCGATATTAATTGGGGAGGGACAAAGGGTAGTACATGGTCCGAGGTAGAGAGTGGTCAGCAAATTCCCATAGGAGAGAATGGAGATGATGAAGTAAAGGTGTAAGCAGGTGGTCAGGGAGAGGTGAGAGGCCCGTGCTTTACAGCTGGCTGCCCATACATGAGTTCAAAGGGTCAGATGAAAAGAGGTTGTTTGGGGAGAGCCCTAAGCCTGAAGAGGGCCAGAGGCAAAAGTTTCACCCAGTCAAGGTGAAGTTCCTGTGACATTTTAGCAAGAATATTCTTTAAAGAATGGTTAGTTCGCTCTGCTTTCCCTGGGGACTGGGGGTGATGCTGAATATGAAAACGCCAAGGAATGTTGAGAGCTTTAGACAGGGTTTGAGAGATCTGAGAAGTAAACTCAGGACCATTGTCAGACTGATGAGAGGCTGGAAGCCAAAACCAGGGAATAATTTCCCTGAGAAGGATGTCAGAGAGCTTTGAGCTTTCTTGTTAGTAGTAGGAAACACCTCTACCCATCCCCAGAAGGTGTCCACTAGTACCAAGAGATATTTAGCTTGCCTGACTGTGGGCATGTGGGTAAAGCCAGTCCCTGGGAGAGAGCCCCTAGCCTGGTTGGTGGGGAAAGGGGGCTATGATACCTGGAGTTAGGGTCAGACATCTGACAGGTTTTACAAGAGGCAGTGATAGTTTTTAAGAAATTTAAGTCCTCAGAAGTAGGTTGGAGATGAGCCTTGACAAACAGAGAAAACCTTCCTGTTAGGGTGGAAGAGCTGGTGTAAGTAGGACAGAATTTGTCGAATGTCAGGAGGTGGCTGTGAGGATGTGTGTTGTAGTGTATGGACTCCCTGTGGTGGGTGAGGTAGATCTGGGCCTCGGAGGGCTGCAACCCTAGCTGCTTCATCAGCTCGGTTGTTGCCCCTAGAAATAATGGAGCTGTCAGTCTGATGAGACCAGCAGTGAGTAATTCCTATAGCTTTGGGGAGGTGAGAGGTCTTTAGCATAGCCATAATTTAACCTGAGTTAGCTATGGATTCTCCTCTTGTAGTAAGTAGCCCACATTCCTTCCAAATAGCTGCGTGGGACAGGAGGATATGAAAAGCATATTTAGAGTCTGTGTAAACATTTAGAGAATGTCCCTGTGCCAATTGGAAGGCACGGGTGAGGGCTATTAATTCAGCCTGTTGGTTAGTAGTGTGGGCAGGGAGTGCCCGAGCTTCCACCACCCTGGTATCTGACACTATGCCATAGCCTGCTTTACGGGTCCCCTCATGTAAAACGGAGCTGACATCTATGTACCAGGTATAGGTGGCCTGAGGTAGTGTACTCTCCTGTATGTGTGAAGGATGGGGCAATATTTCCTCTAAGGTTTCAGTGCAGGAATGAACTGGAGAACAGTTAGTATTAGATTAAGGTAGAAGATTTGAGATATTGAGGAGTGGGAAGATTGGAAAGTAAGTGTCACATCTTCTACCAGTGCCACCTGGAGGGAAAGAACTCGGGCAGGAGGTAGAGTTTGTAAGCCTCTGTAGGTTAGGAGATGAGACAGGTTGTGGTGGGAGAAGACAGTGATGGGTGACCCAAAGTTTAATTTCTTTGACACACGGATAAGGAGCTCAGCAGCTGCTAAAGCACGTATGCAGAATGCCCATCCTTGTGTAGTCAGGTCTAGCTTCTTCGACAGATAAGCTACAGGTGCAAAAGAAGGTCCTAGCTGGTGACCTAGAAC